CATTACACACCTCAGAGTCCCTGAACGCCCACTGTGTGGGCTGGGCATCGTGCCAGGAGACAGGGATGAAGTGTACCTTACAGCCTAGTGCTGGACACACAGAAACAACTGCACTGTAATTCATTCACACCAGGCCATAAACAAGAACAGGGTGGTGCTGACCCTGGAAGCTGGCCTCATGGGGGACAATCGCCATCGCCTCGCTCCCCACCAGAAACCAGGCACAGGGCTCGACCAGTTCCTCTCAGCCTGAACCTGAGCCCCGTATGCAGCTCAGCTGCGCCAAGTACGCATGCACCTGGACATGCACCAAACCCACTCAGTCCCCAGGCTGAGGTGCCCCTGGGCCAGGTCCTGCAGGGCACCAAGGACCCCCTAATCAAGAAAAGCAGCAAGGAAACAGATGTGTGTTTCCCTACACATCCCCAAGGAGTGGCCTGTCAGGCCCCGTCCCCACCATGCACCCTGGTTTCCCCACAAACCCCGCAGCCAGAGGGCACATCAGCGCTTCCTCTCGAAGCTGTATGTCCAACCAGACTTGGCTGGGGAGCCCTCGGCTTCAAGAACAGCTGCGATGACGACTTCAGAAATGTTTTACCAACACCGCAGTAGCGACGAACACACCCAGCACCCAGCTCTTGGTCTCTAACACCATTCTCTGTCAAAAGGAACCCAGGGCTCCTTGGAGAAATGCCGATTCCATGACTGTGATAGGAAGTGCTCAAGATGAGCCTGGACCACCTGTAGTGCCAGACAGTAAGGAGGTGCTCAAAGCAACCAGACGGGGCATGTCAAAGGGACAGAGAAGCCACCTCAAAGAGCCCCAGTGGCCACAGGTGCAACAATTGGAACAACAAAAGTAATAAAGCCATAGAGGATTGTAACCCCAAGTGGAAGGTATATCCATGAATCCACACTGATAAAAATGATTGAGTCAATTAATAAATGAGCTAGACAAATCTCCTGTGCAGATTTCCAAATACTGTGTGTAGCTCCTCTGCCCCCAAGGAGGTGGAACATTACCCCCACCCCTTAAGTGTGGGTAGCACATAGCGACCTTCCTTCCAAAGAGCAGAAAAGGTGTGTAGGAGTAACTTCACCGTGGAAAACCCTAGCAGACACTAGTTGGCCAGGCGATCGGGGTCATCACCCACAGCGATGAGTCATGTCGATAGCAGGTACTGTGATATGAAGCAGGAGAATGATACTTTATCTCTGTGCCCTTACTCCCCAAAACCCCAATCTAATCAAGAGTAAAACAACAGATAATCCCAATGGAGAGACACTCTACAAAATGCCTGACCAGCACTCCTCAAAACTGTCATGTCATCAAAAGACAAGGAAAGTCAGAGACCGTCATGCCCAAGAAGAACGCAGGAAAACATGATCACTCCGTATAACGTGCAATCGCAGATGGGGCAATAAGCACTGAGGGAATCCAAATAGAACCTGGACTTGAAGTAATCGCAGCTTACCAATATTGGCTCATTGATAGTGCAAATATCCCACATAATATAGATAACAGAGGACCCACCTGGACAGGGGTGGGTAGGAGATTTCTACCATCTTTGCAATTTTTCCTTAAACCTAAGACTGTTGTAAACAAAGGGTTTATTTTTTTTAATGTTTTGCCCATGAGTGTATACACATGTCAAAATTCATCAAGCTGTACGCTAAAAAAAACATTAAATAATAATTGGAGTCATTGCAAACAAAAAAGGTTTTGCCAGAAGGTATGATATTTGCATAAATGTTCTTTCTAAATTTATTCATCCAATAAAAACTTGCCGAGCACCTACTCTGGACTGGCCCTGGGGCCAGGCGCCGGGGTTTCCACAAACAACACCGGAGCAGCCCCTGCCCGCAGGGTGCTCGGAGTCCACCGGTTTCCTGAAAAATGACCAGGATGCAAGAGAGTGAGGAAAATTATGCATGACAAATACACATGGCAAAGGTCTGCAAAAAACAGACTCCAGAAGGATATATTCCAAAAAATATATGTTGCAAAATACATGAAGAACTGAGAAAGCCCTGAGATTTGGCGACCACTTCAACCGTGTGGTCAGTGGTCAGAGCCAACGAACCATCTACAGGTGGGCAGCAGAGATCAAACCTGATGTGGAAAGTCTCCCAGCCCCACTGGCGGCTAAGACATCATTACACCCCTATTTAGCCAAAAGGAATAAAAACTAAAACCCAGTGAAAATAGTGGGGCAGTGGCTTCCGCCGTTCTGGACAGCAATCTGACTGCAAGAACCAAGCGGCCTTTATATCCTTTGGACAACCCCTCCCCAAGTACTGTACCCCAAGGAAAGAACGATGAGTGTAAAAGAAAAATTTGGGGAGAACCGAGATATTCACAGCTGCACTCTCTTACAGGTAACTGCCCCAAAGCCCAACAAACCGGTAAACCAGTGGCACCCAGAAGTGGTTCAAAGGGGGCCATCTGAAGCCTGGGGTCAAGCCTCTGCTCCTGAACTCCCAGGTGCCCTTAAATCTCTCTCTGCCTCGGCTCCCCCACCGTAAAGGGAGGACATTACTACCTCCTGCCTTCAAGAGTTACCCAGGGGCTCCAACGAGATCTCAGATAAAGCCAGTGCTTGGCCCACAGAAGCCCGGTTACCTTTAGCCACAGCCGGCCACTGCCCTCCTTGTCGAAGTGCTCTAGGAGATGGGGGGCGGGGACCGGGCTAAGGCCTCCCTGGACAGAGCGCCAGTCAGACAGGCGCCCAAACACGGGAGCCGGGATCTGCCCCAAGCCTGGCTGAGATGCCCTCGGAGGGCGGGAAGCAGCCCTTTCCTGCCATCTCCAGGCCAGACCCGGGGGGGGGCAGGGAGCCGGGGCAGGCCGCGAGGACCACACCCCGATGGGGCAGCAGGAGACAGAGCCGGCGGAATCAGGCCCCCTCTCCCCCCGCGCCCACCCGCCTGCGGCCCCAGCAGGCCCCAGGCCTGCGCCCATCGCGCCTCCCCGGCCTCTCTCGGTCACGCCGCGGATCGGGTCCTGCTGAGGGACGGAAAACCCAAACCACCGAGAGGCAGCAAGAGGGCGCGTGCGCCTCTCCCTACCAGGGCGCCCCAGGGACCAGGCCTCCCGGCCACACCGCCCTCCGGGGACCACCACGTCCGCCAAAGAGGCGCCTCCCGGCGCCAGGCTTCGGGGAAGGGGACCCAAAGGACAGGGTAACCCCGGCGCGGGGGCGGGGTGTCAAGCGGCACTTTCTTTCGTCCCATTGGCTAAGGTAGGATCACATGGCCCGGCCTCGCTGCGGGGCCTGCTGGGAAATGTAGTCTCTACCACGGCGGTAACGTCATTCCGGAAGCACAGGCACCGGGAGACCCTCGCCGAATCTGACTCCCGAGCCCTGCCAGCCTCGGCGCGCCACCCCGTCCTCTTCCTCACTGGCCCTGGAAACGCGGCACCTCTCCACCTGCGCGCCTGCCCTTTACCGGAAGGCTTTCCTAAAGCCCCCAAATGCAACGAGGCCCACGTTGTCTCCCAGAGGGGCAGCCTTGCAAATGGTGCCATAAGCCTACATTACCTTCCAAAAGGGGATCCCCCCAGTGCAACAAGGCCCACATTCTCTCCTGGAGGGGCTGCCTCCCAAAATGCGCTGGGAACCCCTGTGGCAGCCTGCCCACCCCGCCACGTCCATGAACGTGAGAATCAGAAAGGTGGCTGCTGTGCATGGTATCCCCCCAGAGTGTGCTTCAGAAGGTTTAGGGGAGCCAAGAATCTGCACCCCAAGGTCTGGCCACCCTCAGGAGGCTTCCGATGGCTTCTGTGTGCAGGGGAGTGGGTTGCGGTGAAAAGCACTGAGATGGGCCTGTGGGCAGGTTTGCAGCTGAAGGAAACTGAAGTGAGAACCACCCATCCCACCTCCACTGACTCCACTCCCTCCCACGTGGCCACAACAGAAAGTCTCAAGTCCCTGTCCTCCCTGGGCCTCCCTCTGACCTCCCCTCACCCCATCTCCGGTGGAAATTCAGTGTACAGACACGCAGCAAACCCTTCCAGCAAACCTCCAAACTCCCTCGGCGTCCTTCACCCCCACGGCCACCGCCGGGGTCTGCGCACCACACCTCCAGGCCCAGGCCAGCCCTGCCTCAGCTCCCCTGGCTTGGGACTCCACAGTCACTCCCTCGGGGCTCGCCCGCTCTCCAAGCCCCTGATGTCCACCTCTTGGATGCTGCCCCAGCCCCACCCCGCCATCCCCAGTTGCTCCAGCTCATCTCCCTGCTGTATTTCTTTTGGCAATTCTCACTGTTTTACTGTTTGACTTAACTCATTTTAGTTTGTGCGTCCCCAACCAGAATGAAAGGACATTGTTTATCTCAGGCACTGCTGTGTCCGCAGAACTCAGAATGGGGCTTGGCTTCATAGGTACTGAGACAGACAGAAACACAGCGAGACACAGAGGCATCCCTTCCCTACACCCCCACTGTGAGCACAGGATAACAAGGGAGCCCCCTCCTCCACCCCCCTTGTAACAAAGGTCCTTACAACTGAACAGAGGACGCTGTGCCTCTGAGGTTCTGTGGGGCTGGGAAGGCAGGAGTGGCGGATGTAAGCAAGTTGGCCCTCTGCCCACCCCATCCCAGGAGGCCACTTCACATGGGCAGGGGAAGAGGCACTCACCCAGGCTGGGGCTCCCACAGACAAGGCCAGTTTGGGGTGAGCGTCTGGCCTGGGCTCCCAGACTATGGGAAGCCCAACCCCCAGCCCAGGCCCACATACCCCAAAGGCTCCCCAAGTTACAGGCTGAAGGGGGCCCCCTGGGGCTCCGGGGCCAGAGTGAGCCGGGTACAGGGGCCAAGTTGCTAGAAGAGGTGCGGTGGGGGCATGGGCCTTCCCAATGGAGTGGCCCTTGGCTCTGCAAGCCTTCAGGACTGCTGCCCATCCTCCCCTTGAGGACACGGGCCCAAGTGGGGCAGAGCACCAGCCCACTGGGCTCTGCGGGCAATAAAGGCTGATCAGAGAGGGCCAGGCAGAGCTGGCACACACCTGGCAACCAGACACCTCTTCCGAAGACACAGGTATGAGCACAGCCTTGTTCTCAGAGATGTGCAGGATAAGATGTGCAGGTGACCCTGGAACTTTGCTCTGCTCCTCAGCAGGAACCAGCCAGACATTGGTGCTGCTGGAGGGCCTGTCATGGGGCACTCGGCTGTCCTTCTCACCGTGGCCCTGGCCAGCCTCCTGGCTCCAGGGGCAGGGGCACCCGTCGGCAGGCAGGGCTCCCAGAACAAGCTGCTCCTGGTGTCCTTCGATGGCTTCCGCTGGAACTACGACCAGGATGTGCAAACCCCCAACCTGGACGCCATGGCGCGGGATGGAGTGAAAGCTCGCTATATGACCCCAGCCTTCGCCACCATGACAAGCCCTTGCCACTTCACCCTGGTCACTGGTGAGTGTCAGCCTCAAGGTGGGACTGGGGATGGACGTGGGGGCTGAGAAACCAGGGGAAACAACAGAAGGGCCTCCAGTGGGTGCACAGCCCTGTCCCGTGAGTGCCATTTAGGGACAAAGGTGAGACCAAGACGAGGACATTCTCACTGGGGAGACACAGCATAGCCGAAGGGATTCAGCCCCCCTGAGGTCAGTGGCAACTGAGAAGAAGCAAAGAGAAACACCCTTCGGTGTTTCATTTTAAGTAGTGACCACAACCAGGGTGGCAACCCAGGAAGGCCTCTGGAGGAGGTGAGCATGGCCAGGTTCTGGAAAGGCAGGAAAAATGAGCCTGAGGCTCTTGCTCTTTCTGCTGCTCACTCCGCTGCCACCCTCAAACCCACCATCACTGTGCTTCAGCTGAGAGTCTGAAATCCAGGTCCGTGGGGGCCACATTCCCTCCAGGGACCCTTCCCACCTCTCCCAGCCTCTAGTGGTCCCAGGTGTTCCTGGGCCTGTGGCCGCATCACTCACGTCTCAGCCCCTTGGTCACACGGCTCTCTTGCTGTGTGTCTGTCTCCTTCTCGTGAGGACACGTGTCGGTGGCCTCAGGGCCCCCCTAATCCCGAGGGCCCTCTTCTTAACCTAAGTACATCTGCAAAACTTAACAAACTGAGGCTCCGCATGGGCACAACTGGGGGGTGGAAGCTATTCAAGACAGATGGCTTGGCCCCGCACCAACATTCCCACTGCCACAGGCCCTGATCCATGCACACAGTCCTGTCGTCTGCACAGCTCCTTTCTACTTAACATACTGGGGTCCTATGAGGGGAAGAGATCATCCCCCCATCATCTCTTGTACCTTCTGACCTCATGTGCAGGTGCTTCCCATGCAAAAATTAAAGTTAATAAATTATCTCAAGCTCTACTTGGTTCACCTAAATTCCTGCCTAGAATTCTATCTTATGGCTGCACCCTAAGGTATTAATTAGTTCCTTCCCAATAGCCATCTAGGTCACTACCAATCTTTTGCTCAAACCAAGGAGGCTGCACATGTTGTCCTCGAATGTGCACACTTGCACTCATGCACACGTTCAGCTGCAGGACAAGCCCGGAAAAGGGAGCAGAACCGCTGGGCTGGGGGACAGGTGCCCATGAGCTGAACCTGGGCTCCCACCTCCCCTCTGCTGCCCCCTCCCCACAGGCAAATACATTGAGAACCACGGAGTGGTTCACAACATGTTCTACAACACCACCACAAAGGTGAAGCTGCCCTACCACGCCACGCTGGGCATCGAGAGGTGGTGGGACAACGGCAGCGTGCCCATCTGGATCACGGCCCAGCGGCAGGTAGTGCCTCCCCCGGCCACATGGGAGAGGGTGGAGGAGGTGCAGGCTTTTGGGGTGAGCCTACACCCACCTCAAAAGCAAGGCACCCACTCCACCCCTCGCTCCAGGAGCCACCCAGACACCAGGCTCACTTGCAGGAAGCCAGAGCTGAGAACTTGGCATCTCGTGGCACTGTCTAAACAGAATGGCCTGGGGAGCTGGAGGGCAGCTGGGGCCCAAGTGGACAGATGGATCTGGAAGTAAAGCAGCAGTCGATTTACAGAAGGGCAGATGGATGCCCAGGCTGAAGGCTGGAAGGGCAGAAGACGAGATGGGCAAAGGGGCTGACAGACACAGGCCTGGCTGAGAGTACAGGGGGAGAGGCCAGGCTGCAGGCTCCAGACAGTCAGCCCGGGGCAGGGACCTAGGGCCAGAGCAACAGAGAGGACACTGCATATCTGGGGGCACTTTTATACCCATTACCTCATTCATGCTCAGTCCTCTGGGTACCTGCTCTCTCCTCTACAAAATACTTATCAGCCCCAGGACCATAAGATAAAGGCTAAGAAAGATTCCAGAAAATAAAGTGGCTTGTGGCTGCAGCTCAGGGTTTGCACGGGTGAGTGGGCAGAGAGGCAGGGGCGTGGGGGGCAAATGCATCAGCGGGCATGGGACAAGCAGGAGCAGGCCCCAGACTCCTGGGACTTGAGTGCTGTGTTCCCTGGCAGGGCTTAAAGACGGGCTCCTTCTTCTACCCCGGCGGCAATGTCACCTACCAAGGCGTGGCCGTGACGCTGAGCCGGAAGGAAGGCATCCTGCACAACTACAAGAACGAGAAGGAGTGGAGGGCCAACATCGACACGGTGATGCGCTGGTTCACAGAGGAGAAGCTGGACCTGGTCACGCTCTACTTTGGGGAGCCAGACTCCACGGGCCACAAGTACGGCCCAGAGTCTCAGGAGAGGAAGGAGATGGTGATGCAGGTGGACAGGACTGTGGGCTACCTCCGGGACCGCATCAGGCAGAGCGGCCTGGACAGCAGCCTCAACCTGATCATCACGTCCGACCACGGCATGACCACCGTCCGCAAGAACGCCAGTGACTTGGTGGAATTCCACAGATTCCCCAACTTCACCTTCAAGGACATTGAGTTTGAGCTCCTGGACTATGGACCAAATGGGATGCTGCTTCCCAAAGAAGGGATGCTAGAGAAGGTATACGAGGCCCTCAAGGACGCCCACCCCAAACTCCACGTCTACAGGAAGGAGACCTTCCCCAAGTCCCTCCACTACGCCAATAATCCCAGGATCACCCCCCTGCTCATGTACAGTGATGCCGGCTACGTCATCCACGGGGTGAGTTGCCTCCCCAGGGCTGTGCAAGGGGCTCCTCAGCACCCTGCTGCCCACGCTCCAGGACACCAGCCAAGGGCCCCTCGGCACCCCACTGCCCACGCTGCAGCACACCAGCCAGGGGCCCCTCGGCACCCCACTGCCCATGCTCAGCTAGCCTCCTGCCCTGGCTGCTGGCTTGTACCCTTTCTGCACATAGCACACCCTATTTCTAACCAGTCCCCGATTTGAGGAGGAGCATTGGCCATCAAAGGGACACACCCATCACTATGCCATAGCAGTGTGCACGTACATGAGAGTACATGTATGGGTGTGTACAAGATTTGTGCATGCTTTTACATGTGTTTATGTGTGTGCACATGCCTGTGCATACACGCATGCATGTACATATGCCTTCATATGTGTGCACGTGTGCGTAGGGTAAAGTGTGGGAAGGTCAGCCATTAGAGTGACGTGGAGGAGGTGAGGGTGACGAGTGTGGCCTCTGTGAACAGAGACCCAAGGGGGGCTGGAGGGGAAGCCTGGTGCACCGTGCGGGGAAGGCATCCAGGAGAGGAGGGGGACGTGAGGGGCTGCGCAGGACACGGAGGGGCTCACAGCACAGCTGGGGGCCAACCATTCCACGCACTTACTTGGGGGCCTCCAGATACTTGTGTATGTCACCAGGTCTTCACTGAGACTCTTTGGGCCCCTGACCTTCTGGGGCTCAGAATTCAGAGAATCTGAGGCCCAGAATCCCTCCCGTACCCATATCTGAACTCTCTCCAGGGGTCCTCTGCCAAGAGAGGATCTCTGCCTGGTGCTAACAGAGAGGGCAGGTGGGCTAGGAAATCCCCACAGGGACTCAGGACCCTCCCTCCCTCTGAACTGCAGAGAGTAAATGTGCAGTTCAACAATGGTGAGCATGGCTTTGACAATGAGGTCATGGACATGAAGACCATCTTCCGGGCCGTGGGCCCCAGCTTCAAGAGGGGCCTGGAGGTGGAGCCCTTCGAGAGCGTCCACGTGTATGAGCTCATGTGCAGGCTGCTGGGTATCGTGCCCGAGGCCAATGACGGGCTCCTCAGCACCCTGCTGCCCACGCTCCAGGACACCAGCCAGGGGCCCCTCAGCACCCCACTGCCCACGCTGCAGCACACCAGCCAGGGGTCCCTCGGCACCCCACTGCCCACGCTCCAGCACACCAGCCACAGGCTCCCTAGGACCACGGATGGCTCAGGTGAGGTGCCACCAGGCAGCTGCAGGTGGGACAGGCCTCCCCGGGGAGTCCATGCACCCCACCCTCCCCAGGGCTGTGCAAGGGGCTCCTTCCTAGTCTTCCACCAGCCTCCGCCACACGCCCTCACCCCACCCTGACCCATCCCAGGAGCAGAAGTCACCTGGAAGCTGACAAGGTGGCAGACCCCAGTGGGCCTGGCCCAGGAAGGCGGGCCCTGGCTGAGCGGGGGCCGTGCCGGAGGAGAGCAGGGAGCGGCACAGCTGGGGGGATGGCAGGAGACAAAGTCGGGGGGCTCGAGGGGGCACCTCGCCCACCGAGAGGCTGGGGTGAGCGACATGCTCCCATGCTCTCACTCACTGGATCACCCATATTTCCTTAGGGTCTGCCCTCCTGCCAAGCGGCTGGCCCACCCTGGTGACCGGACTGCTGGTGGCCATGATTCTTCTGGGCAAGGTCGCATAATAATACACAAGCGCTCAAGGTCAGAGGCCCCAGGTGGCAGGGGATTGGGTGAGACCACGCTCCCCGCACCTCCAGCCCGAAGCCCTGCTGCAGACCCGGGCCCCACTCTTCACAGGGAGGAGTCGGTCCTCAGGCCCCCGCAGCCCCCTGCCAGCCCCTCTGCTTTAGGCTTGGGCTGGGTCTTTCCAAAGCAGACAGCCCAGATGAGACCAGAGCCTCCCCAGCCACCTCCCCTCCTGCCTGCAAGGTCTCTGGGCTCCACTGGGGACAAAGGACAACTCAGAAGCCCTCGTGGAGCAGGGCCGGGGGGCAGAGCTGCAGGGCCGGGTTCCCGGAATCAGAGCAGCCAGCTCGGAGGGCTCTTTGTCCCTGTCCTGCGGAGCCACGGACCTCTGGCCAAAGCAGAACCGAGTCACTCATTCATTCTAAGTCCTGCTCTAGCCTGGACTCTGGGGATACACAGCGAATGAGATATAGCCTGGGCCTTGCCCCCCAGAGCTGGTGATTTAGGGGCCAGGAAGGGCAGAAAACACAGAGGACAAATCTATGCTCAGGAACAGGGGGGCTGGTACAGTCAGCTAGAAAGTCTCCAGCGGGCCAGGCAGGGCACCTCGGTGGCAGAGCAGAGGCGGTGCAAAACAGACAGATTTAAGCTACCTTTAAGGGAACTGGCTTCCACGGTTTGTGGATAGACCAGGGCGAGAGGAACAGAGAGAGAGGAGTGGGTCTGAGGCTCGGGCCTGACCTGCCTGTTGGGGACAGAGCAGCCCACTGAGATGTGAGGAGCGGGGCACAGAGGAGATTGAGGAGAGAGGGGTCACCACACCGCTCACCGAGGAGGACGGCCAGCGAGGTGGCGGGTGCAGAAATGTGTGCTGTGGGGCCAGAGGCACTCGCTGCCAGATGACAGGGTGGGACGGGGCCTGACAGACCGTTTTGGCCAACACCCCTTAGGCACTTGAGACGCTGGAGCCTGGGAAGCTCGCCAGCTAGTCCAAGGGCGCCACAAGTAACAGGGCCCTGCCTAAACACCCGTCTTAACTACCTTGCCTGGAGGATTTCCGCTGCATCGGAGCCTCTGCCTGGAAGACTGGGCCCTGGACGTGGGCCTTCCAGCACTAGGCAGGGCGTGGTAGACGTCTCCAGCCCTGCACCCTGCAGAGCACACCCACAAACTCTCGTTTTCCCGGACACCGAACAGTGGGCTCAGCCAGTGTCATTCAGGCTCACAGGCAAGGAAGGAGGCTGCAGTCCAGACAGGGGGCCACGCGAGTCTCTGCGCACATTCTCAGGGTCCCCCAAAGGGGCAGCTACAGGGGTGCGCCAGCAAACAGGTCCTCCAGACCAAAATGCCACAATGCATAGCCTCGCCCGTTTCTGTGGTATAAATGCTCCTGCTGTGGAAGATTTCAGGTTCCCGGCATGAGGTCAGGAAACTCAAGGTTGGGAAAAGACCTGAAGAATCAGATTTCTCAAGGATGAGCTGTGATGACGCAGGCCCCTCCTCACTGCGACCTAGCAGAGCCCTCCTGACCCCTTCAGGAGCAGGTGGAGCATCGGGGGAAACTGAGGCGTCCTCAGGCTCCCCCTGCTTCTGGGTCTGCAGTGTGCATGGCCGGGCCTCCCTGTAAAGCAGGACCCCCAGCCAGGCCTAGGAAAGTGCCCCTCTCCCCACCCCACCGCCAGCAGCCCTGGGGTAGGGGCTAGAGCCCCCACGGCCATTCCCAACCCCCTTGCCCCCACCAGGCCCTCCCGGGTCCAGCTGAGGGTCAGGAATTCTCACAGGGCCCTTCCCAGTCCCGGCCTGACCCAAGTGCCTCTGTCCTGTGCATCCCCACCTGCCCAGACGATTTGCACCCCCTTCCCTCCTTCCCCTCTCCTCCACCAGACCCACCCCCCCTGCCCCTGCCTGTCTTCCCAGTCCAGCACACACTTGTTCTTTCAGGCCCACCATTGCAGGAAGCCTCCGGAAGCCACCCACAAGGTCTGGGACCCACCATCTCACTGCAGTGCTCCACCGGACATGGATGGGCCTTGTCCCCCCATTGTCACCACTGGCCCCACACTGCCTGCCACGTCCCCGCAGCCCCAGCCCATGCTTAGTCGTTGCAATACTGGCAATAGAGGCCTGCTGACAGGTTCACAGCCCCCATACCCTAAGGGCTGCCGTGCCCCCTCCCCCTCCTCTCCCACGCTCCCTCTGTGGAACGGCTACAGTGGGGGGGGGGCGCATGGAAGCCCCACCCAGGCAGATGCTGGACACTGAGCCCCGGAGCCCAGCCTCCAGCTTGCGCTCTGCCCCTGCAGCCCCTGGCCTACAGTCCCTGCAAGGCTCCCCGGCAATGGCAGAAAGGCCATGGAAGTGGAGGACAAGCCCAGTCCTGAAGGGTCCCAGCGGTCTCTTCGGCAGAGCCGGCTGCTGTTGCACAGCCTCAGCCCTTACCACCAGTGACCAATAAACTCCTGGTTCTAAGGACGGGGGACAACCCAGCCCTTCCTTCTTGCTGGGTGATAGGTCCTGGGTGCCCCCAGGAGAGGGGCAAAGGGCGGCAGCAAGGCTTTTTGTAATAGGAAACAGTGGGAACACTGCAGGTTGTGTGTGTGATGTCGGGGAGGAGGGGCGTGTGTGATGTGTGGTGTATGTGTGTATGTGGGGGGTGAGGTGTGGGGGAAGGTGTGGTGTGGTGGGGAAGGTGTGGTGTGGTGTGTATGATATGTGTGGTGTGTACAGACATAAACACCCCCCTGGAGAACAGAGGAAAGGGTGAGCATGGACTGGCTCGCGGGGACTGGGGCCACCAGGAGCAGTAGGGCTGCTGTCCACCCCCGGCCCCCTGGACACACAGAACCGCCCCAAGGACACCACCCTCCAAACCACTTTGTAAGAACACAACTCCAGCTCTGGTCTGTCCCCACCTGTGACCAAGCTGTGGGCAATTAACCTCCCCCAGCCCATTTCCTCCATTGAAAAGGGGATGATCAGGAGATGCCCACCCCCTGAGATTGGCCTGGACACTGCACTGAAGCAGGTGGCCAGAGAGGGTCAAACTCTTGCAGGGGGAGGTGCTGACTCGTCAAACTGAAAACAAATCCAGCTGTAACAATGGGAGACCAGTCCTTGGAAGGATGGGTCAGGACCACCTATTCCTCACCTGTGACTCCCCCCTCCCCTCCCTGGGCTCCTGTGGATAAAATGAAGGTTCCTGTGACCAGGATTCCCACCTGGTCCTGGCTGGCTAGCTCACTACACATGTGGGCAATGCATTGTTACTGACTCTATATAGAGAGCCCTGCCCAGTGCTCTGGGCGACACAGTGGCAGGGCTGCAAGGCTGCAGGAGAGCAGAGGCTGGAATGGTGGCAGCGCCGAGGACAGAGGCCCAGAGGATGGCTGTGCAGGCAGAGAGGCCCAGAGGCAGAGACCGGCTTGCTGCACGTAGACTCGCTCTGAGTGGATGAGATTTTAGTGACTGACCTGCCACCTGGAAATAAAGTTGGATATAACCCTCTCACCCCGAGAACGTTCCACTGTCATTTCTTTGGTCACACTGAATCTGTAATGAACTCGCCCAGGGCTGAAACCCACCGACAAGACAGCCCCTTACCTCCACCTGCAGTTTGAGAGCCACCTGCATCTCCAGGATCCATCCCAACCTGCCGGCCGTGGCCAGTGTCCTACCACAACCTAAAAGGCCCTATGGCTCCGTGGGCCCCATATCCAGTGCATTTCCTAGGACGGCCCCACCTCTACTTGCCTGTGGCCATACGTGGGGTACCAGGCCAGCCTGCTTGCTCACTAGAGCTTTGGACCGTGGACAGACCCAAATCCAGCCTTGGTGCCCCCAAGTCCGCCCCACCTGGCTGGAGAGGACCAGGTGGGGTACTCAAACACATCCTAGGAGTGGTGAGCACTCCCAGGTGCCAGCAGAGCATAGCCACCACAACCCCATGACCCCCAGGGGGTCCACGACTGGGAGTCCACGACTACCGGGTCAGCTCAGCCTAATCCGCTTTCCAGGGCATGAGCCAACAGGTGCTCTGAGAATCACTTGACTGGTTTTTTCAAACAGAAAAGAGAAAGGAGAGGAAGATGACCTGGGCTGTCCCCTGTTAAGCATTCGGCTGCTCCAGATGTCTGGCATCACAAGAATACCCCCAAAAAAGCCGCAGGGGTCACTGAAGGAGCCTCCTGCACTGGGAGCATGGCAGCAGAGGCGGGCTTCACGGTGTGGGCTATGGTTCCCATTTGTGCAGCTGGGGAGTGGGACACCCATTGGGTGGGGGGCACCCAATGGGCTCAGCCAGTGCAAACCCAGCTCCCCCATCCAGCACTAACTCAGGGCTCTGGGGCCCAGGGTAACCTCTGGGTCTCGGGATGGAGAGGAGAACCTGTCTCATAGTGTGGTCCTAGTGACTAAGGAATTAGAAACTGCTTAGAACCACGGAAGGCCCACGTGCTACATCTTAGGCGTTGGGAACAGACGGTATCACCGAGAAGCCCACCTCCGCCGTTTCCAATTCACCTCCAAGCCTTCTTGTTTCTCTAGTAGAAAGTTTTGGGTCGGTGTCACTAAGTCTTAAAACACATCCGTTCTGTAGCTTGGACCTGGACTCGGAGCTCTGGCAGGTGTATCAGGGTAGACGGTCACAACACTGTTTTATTTACAGTCTTATTTGATGATCTTCACTTTGGGGTGAGTTCTACTGGTTGCCCATATGTGTCTGCTATTTTACATTTTTTCTTTTAAAATTAACTTAAGGATGAGTTGATTTAGAGAAAAACATTGACTAAATAATAGTGGAAGGGGGTTGGTGGACATGACGAAATGCATAAATAATCATTTATGCTCCTGCCTGCCCCCTGCCCCTTCCCACCATGTGGCCAGAGCAGGAAGTTTCCAGGGGCAGCGCTTGGCCTCCCCATGGCCAGCGCCCAAACCTGCAGAAATACACTGTATTTCAAATGTGCCCTGCACCCCTCCTGGCTGGTAACCGGAGTTTCCAACCACTGAAAACTAATGCTGCAATTCACTGTACAAAGTTCATTTTACTATCAGAACAGCTAAAAGTGAGTCAGAAAAAACCCAGCTGAAACAAAGCTGTAAACTGCCCTCTGGAGGCACATGCAGATGACCGGGGACACACACACAACTGTCTGGGTCACAGCCTTTGTTGAATTTGGCCCGTCCGCATCTCCTGCTGATGGATGGAACTTCCAAGTACTGACTGGGCAGTTCATGCAGGGCAGGGTGTGTGACTGGGACAGTGGAAACCCGCCTTGTTAGGAGGCCCTGCCCTTTTAGAGCCAGCCCTGCACACTGGCACCCGAAGGCAGCATTCCTGGACTCCTCAGCACCGCCTGAGGCCTTTCTCAGGTGGCTTCTGAAGTACAGAGGAATTCAGAACCTCCTGTCCTCCCCTCCGAAATAGCCTCATTCCTCCTCAGCCCAGTCTTGGGGGCATTGCCAAGGGGTATTTATGCTTGCCCAAGTTTTAGATGGAGCCCCAAGTGAATACTAGTAGTTGAGAGCAGAGAACTAGAACTTTCCAAACCCGGTTTGCTTTAGTTCCCGGCGGGGGAGGGATTGAGTAGCCCCACTTAGTACAAGGGCCACCCCAGATCACTGGTTCTCAAATGTGAGTGTGCCTCGGAATCCCTTCGCCAAATCAGAGCACCATACCTGGGTCAGTGCGTCTGGCACGGCCTGAGAGTTCGCATGTCTGGGTGGTTCCAGGTGGTTCTGACGCCGTCCGCCAGGGCGCTATGAGGAGAGCTGCCACACGTGACAAAGGTGAAGAATGATGGAATGAAAGCTGGTCCAGCCTTCAACACCCCCCGGTGTTAAGCAGGGTGAGAACCGAGGTGTGGTCCCCCACCGTGGTGGGAGGCCAGCACACGCATCTGCAAACCCAGTTCCCTGGCGCCCGGCCTGCCCCTTCCCGCTGACGCAAGTCCGCTCCGTCCAGAGCCCAGCTGCTGGCGCAGATCCTCTCCTCCCCCGGCCCTTCTCTGTCACTCCATTTGTCCTGAGCCCCACAGGAGCACCTGCAGGGCGTAACAGCCGGCCGCTGGGCCTGTGGCGGGTCCAGGCCGGCCTCAGAAGGGACAGTTCGTTCAGAGGGGCGGCCTGCACACCTGACAGCAGTGAGCGCCTTGCACACCCACTCGCTGCCGAGCGGACCTCAGGAATCGTGGGCTCCAGCGCCTGGCCTAGAGGACCCCAGGGTGCCCCCGGGCCCCCCAGGCGAGCAGCAGCGACCCGCGCCTGGGCGCCCCATCATGACGCGTGTCAAGGGGCGGTGATTCACAGGGCTGTGTCCCGGGCAGCCCCGCTCATCCTGCGGCTTCCCGGGGGAGCGCCCCGACGGACTGTTGCCGTGGCTGCCGCTCCGCGGGCGCAGCACCCCAGGCTGCGAGCAGCGGGCCGAGCCCGAGACCAGCAGGGGCCGAGCCGGGCCCGCCCCGCCCCGCGCGCCGCACACGTGCCGCACACACCCCACGCCCCCGGGCAGCTGCCCACGCCGCGAGGACCCACCCCCACCACTTCCGCTCACGTGAGCCACAGCCCGCGGAGACTTCTGACGGCACGCTCGCCCCCGCCCCCCACGCCCAATCGGGAACCAGAGGCCCCGGACGCGCGCTGGGAACAGGCCCCCGGCGTCCACACCCGCAGGCGCAGCCCCTCCTCTTTGTTCCTTTGCACCCCGGGGGAAGGGTGACCTGCGGGGGTCACATCATGAGCCGACGGTACCGGGCAGGGGGCTGCGGCCGCCAGGCCCCCCACTCCACATGCCCCCAGGAGGGCCTAGCAGGCCGGGTCACACCTGCCACGGTCCCCCTCTTCACCCCACGCGGCAGGAGGGCGAGGCGGGGACCCTGCGGGCCGGGAGGACCCTGGCCACGCACACACCCGCGGTGCCGAGGAGCAAGAAAGAGAGTTTATCCAGGTCCTTTTTCTTTTTTTTTTTGCTTTGTTTTTGGCCACGAATCACCATATGACCTTTGGCCCAAGTCGCCAAAGAAGTTCAAAAACTGGGGGGCCACAGCTCTAGCAAATCTACCCCATTGCCACGGATGAATTTATAGAAAGAGTTTGCTCAGCGTCCACACCATTAACATGAAAGACAGGAATGCGGCTGATTCTGAACCACCTCTTGGATCCAGTGATACGCCTGAACCGTTTGAAAATACACAGCCCCGTGGTCCTCTTAAGAGATTCAGTCCAAGGAAAATGTAGCATATATAAGAAATATATACTACAATATAATATATTTATATTGAATTAATCAACTGATTAATCGCATTAATCATTCCATCCAGAATAATTTAATATTGTCTTAGAGTGACAAGAAATAAAATGTCTTAAAATTAAATTGTTTTTGTTGCACAGACCTATGCTTGAGTGATTAGTGAATTACCTTCACACATAGAAATGTTTTTTATTAATATAAAATTCAGTGAGTGAAGTGAAATTCCTATGCGAAGGAAGAAAGAAATGGGAAAACTTTGTCCATGTCTTTGGTATGGTCAGGTCACATTGCTACATTGTTTACATTTAATGTGATGTATTTAGAAGAATTACCCAAGGAAAATGGAAGGCAGATGCATTTAGAAAAAGAAAGTGTTTTCTTGCAAAAGGTGCAGAGCAGGCGGACCAGAAGGACTGGTTTGTGAAATACAAAAAACTATTAAGTATTCAAAGGAGAAAAAAATCACAAGAGAACCACGGGTATCAAATTTGCATTCATCCATCCCTGGTGGGCCTATCCCATGCTAATCCTAAAGGTCAGGACACATAGCAAAGGTCAGGGGTAATATTCTGGATGTTATTGAATATAGGTTCACAAGAAATAGGGTTTTATTATTTGGGGACTCCGTGATTTTGGTTTATGTCAGGTGCAAAGTGGTTTACTGGCTTGGTTTGTGTTTAATAATGTGAATTGCTCAGTGACATTGGAAACAAGACAAAACATCTGGTTTTGCTTCTGCAGAGAGAGGAACTTTTATTTTTCAAAGATGTATAATTGGAAATCATATCCTACTTTGTAAATGTAATGGTGAAAAAATAGTAGATACCAACCTAAAAAGTTGCCAAAGGGGCATGATTCTTCCAAATTATTGTAGGCTATGTGGACAAAGCAGCTAGGAGGCCACGGACCTAGTTGCACTTCGTTTTGTGCAGAGGAGGAAACTGAGACATAGAGGAGGGTCGGGTTGTCCACTGTTGCATAAGGTGT